TTCAATGTGCCCCTTTTTAACTTTGAGCACCCGCCCCTTTAAACCTCTCTGCACGGCCCTGCTGGGGGGAACCTATATAGATGGCAAAAGGAAGGAGCGTGTTTGGAGGCGTGGTCCCGCTCCTAAAATTCAGATACATAATCTCCAATTAATGATGTAAATACAGATCTATCCAGGGCCTCCCCCTCTTTTACCCTGTGACAGCTGGGATAAGCTTCAGCCTGACTGGATACTGAATTGAATAAGCGGTTGAGAAAACGGATGGATGGATAATGTGAATATAGTAAGTCATTAGCTTTGCATGGCTTGGGATGATCTGATACATTTTACATACATTCATACATTCTAATTAATGTTGCTGCACTATTTTTTTGTGTCAGAATATCTAAATCTGTGAGATTTGTGCAAAAAGGCTGCAGATTCTTCGAATAACCTGCACAGCACTGATTAATGCTCTTGACCTGATGCAAGGACAGTAAGACTAAAAAGATCCATGTCAGCCTCTGGCTCTGTTTTTGTGCTGCATGCTGAGCAGCGGACAGATTTTCCCATACTAATTAGGCTGCAAACCTGCCACCCAAATCAGCACTTGGAGAACACTTCTGAGAAAAAATATAATAGCGATATCAAATGGGATGGCTCAGAAGTTTGCTTATACCCCAAAGGAACGTGACAGGTTTTATTATTCCCGTTCTTGATGTCCCACTTATTAGATATTAATCATTAAAAGCTTCTCCGCCTCATCACTGGCCACCTGAGTAGTTTCTCCCAGGACTACATCTACAGGAAATCTGCTACCGCCAACTCACTTTTCCACCCGGTGGCCAAACTGTAGGAGAGAGTCTCATTGTGCTGCCTCCCACCACGGAAATGAAACACAAAGTAACACTTCCCATCAGCCTCCAGAGGAGAAGTAACAGGAACGATTCTTCCCTCTATTTCTGTTTCTCTCTCTTCTCCTCCTCACTGCTGGTTTCCATTACCTGGGGCTTCTGCTTGTTCACCCTGACAGTTACTTTTTTTTGGACAAGTATCACATACCCACAGCTGTACAGACACACACAACCAAACAACCAACCGTCTCTAAAAGCAGTCTTGGTTGGCACATTGCGTTGTTCTGGGGGCTGCTAAGAGCTTGGCTTCATGCCTTATTCATCCCTCAGGCCTATTCTTTCCACCAGTGCAGAAGAATTTAGGAGGAGGAAAGCTGTCCGGCACCTAACACACTACTCACCAACAGGATAGAGGTCAATCTGATAACTTCTGGGCAAAAAAACAAAACAAAGAAGAAAATCTTTTATTTCTTACTGCTTGTCTTCTCTCATCTACTGTCTGTGTATTTTATGTGTGTTTAAAGTGAACTTGACAACAGGAAATTTCAGGGTCTATATCAAGCCTGTGACATTTTTAGAAACGATAATGTCATAAAACCAGAAAGACAACACTAACTGTAGCTGAGCACTCCTACTCACTTTGGATGTGACAACAGAAATCAGACTGTACATGCTGCTGGCACGTACAATCTCACAATCCTTGTCTTTTTGTGTTTTTTACACAAAGATTTTTCCCTTCTGTCCTCATTTTTCTTGAAATGTGTGTCACTGTATTTTCCCTAATAAAGACACAGATAGATTGTAGATTGTGGGATATGTTACAGTGACACTGGGGAAAACTGGTTTCAGACAATGGCATGACTAAAATTATTGTGAATGTTTGCAGTGAACTTGCAATGTTGTTGCATTTGAATGGGTGTTAGGACATGGTCTGCTCATTCACAGTCAGGAGAAGGTGCTAAAACTGCAACAAGACAGAGTCAGTCTGTTTAATTCTCATTAAACAGAAATGAAAATATAGTCCAGCCAGAAGCTCATAGACCTGAAACAGAAATTCAGAAATTCCTCTGCAAAGAGTGAAGTAGTTGTGCAGGACAACAATTTAACTGCAAGATGACATAGGTGCTCTGCAGCCTTGCGTTTATATGGGAATATAACAAAAATACAACCAATTTGCAGCTAGTGTAGTCAAGTTTCCTGTTGCAAAGAGAAAGATCAAATACTAGTTGCCCTCATTGCACAGGTTGACTCCGAAGAATTGCATAGTGTTGGCAATCTGTCTGTGGTTAGAAATTAGAAGGCAGTTATTTGCAAATGTTCCCAAATTGCAGTCAGTCTAAGCTGGCTATGATTGTGATTCTGTCCACTTGCAATCCAAAGTGGTTGCTCAACTACTTGCAGTTGATTGCTGAATGGGAAAAAAAACAACCAAAAAAGGAATAGTTCAACAATTGTGTAAAACCTCCTTACAACCCAGTGCTGGCAAAACCTACTATTCACACTATTCACAGCTCTATGATTTCTGCAGTCTCCACAAACAAAAGAAACACATCCAAATACACTATATGTTCTTCCCAGAAATTAAATTGTTTACACTCATTAAATCGCGATCTTGAATAAACTGTATTGTCTGGGTAATGTTGTCTGTCTCTACAACTAGCTTTGGTGGGGTGTTGTGGCTTTATGCCAATATTGTACCAGCTATGCATTTGAAACAGTATTTCTGGGATTTTATTACATAAAATTCCTGGGACATGTGTAGACCACTCTGTTGTGCAGTTAGTTCAATTAAATTTTATTTATATAGTTCCAGTTTATAACAGCAAAAATCTGCAGGTGATATAAATAGAAGACACTCAACAATATTAGATAGAAAACCCCAACGAGTGTTTAATGACAAAGGGAAGGAAGAAATCCCCTTAAACAGACAGAGACAGCAGAACCCGGCTAAGGGACGGGCAGTCCTCTCCCATGAGGGGAAAGAGATAAGGGGAAAAACACGAGGACAGAGAGATAAGGAACTCTTCTCAAAACTCTAGGAACCACAATTAAGCCTGAAGTGTGAGAGCCAAGTGCTCTATTAGAATAATAAGGTACTACAAGGTCTTTAAGATATGATTATTCAGGACGTGTGGAAAGATTTTACATTCAATCCTAAATTTAACAGGGAGCCAATGAAGATAATTTAACATGGGAGAAATATGATCTCTGCACTTCTTAGACAAATGAGCAAAATCATCAAAAATGACCTATTCTGAGAAAATCTTTGTGTGTTTCTCACTCTTATATATATTAAATCTTTAGATTTTGTGCAAATAGTATGAATGAAATGTATGACAGCACGCTTTTCCCTTTTTAAATTCAGACTGCAATAATGCAAAATAATATTTACTCACAGTCAGTGGCAGAACGTCAGTAGAAGGAAGACAAATGAATACATTTGTTTAAAAAATCGAATGTAAATGATGGCTCACAGCATGGCTGGTGAGCTCATTAGAGTAGGTGTACTAATGTTAGGGCTTTGGGTACAATCTGCTCTTAGAGTTTGCAACAAAATAACAATAGAAGCATATGAAATAACAGCAAAAAAAAGACATCAAAGAAAGCTTCAGATCTATCCAAAGCTCGTTTGTCCTGAATGGATTTTACTTAATCTTGCATTCTGGGCATGACCTCAGGGCTGGCAAGCACACTCATCTGACTTACTCTCTCTCTCTCTTTCAGGATAAGGTGGTAGAAAGTTGGGCCTGTTCAGGGGGATGTTCAAAGAAACAAAGAGAGGGATGGCCGTGGAGGAGAAGCCGGGTGTGAAGAGCAGCAGCTCCATCGTTCCCTGCTTTCTGTTTGTGGAGGTAAGCAGTATGGACATGCTGATGTATGGCTTGCAGTTTCTGCACTAATCCTGTGTTACACTAGGAAGGAAAACGGTTTTCAATAGAACTGATGAAATCACCATAAAACTCCTCACCTCACTTTGCAGATCATGCAAAAAGCTTGACCAAATCTCCTGTTTCATGCTGACTCCAGGTTTATCTCTGAGATTGCCCATCGTGTTAGCGAGGAGAGACCTGAGAAGTGACTCACTATTTAACGCCCAGCTTTAAGCGCTTTCATCTCTTTACATCCCTACAGGCTCAGCCTCAGCGGTAACATTTTTTCAGGCTCTCAACAGTGGAGTTTGGGACAGCTCAGCAAATTGCTGACATTCTCACTTTGTGTCACGCGCTCTGCTCTGTTCCAGCACCAGGGGAAGTGGTGGCTTGGTAAAGTGGCTACAGTTGTTCTGTGGCATGCTGAGGTTTTTTCCAGAACATTTGTGAACTGCATGATTCATCGAGGTAGTTGTGGATGTCACAGCAGAGACATAGTGGATTTTCAGCTGATGTACTGCAGGATTTAGGTTTGGGCACACCAAAGGTCATTTTCTGTGGCAGGCTGAAAATTTTCAGAAAATCACGCTAACATGCACACACACCGCTACATCCCTTGTGGAAAGGGTGCTCTACATTGTTTGTGAGAACAGTCAGACAGATGACTCAGAGGGCTGTGGAAGTCCCAGAGCTTTCACCCATTTGAAACTGAGGTGGTGAAAAGCACAAACTGGTGAGGTAATCAGACGATCTGCAATCTAATTAGACAAAGCTAGCGGTCCTGAAGCTCATTGGCTTCAGCTAAGCCAACCATCAGCTTTTTAGGGAGCAGTCTTTGCAGTTAAAGCATTGTTCTGTTACAGATAAGAGAAGCTGTTTGCACCATTGCTTTCCAGGTGCAACCACAGCATCCTTTTGGATTTAAACATTAGGATTCTGTTTAGTGTTGACAATCCATGTGCAGCGCACAGTGTATGTGCTGGATATAATTTGCACTTTATCTGCAGATGGGTCTCATTAAAGGAAACTTTGAACTAGGTGAAGTTTTTGAAATGAAATGCACCTCTTTAAAGGACACGGCAGAGTCGAAGAGTGAAGAAAACACAAAAACAGACATGAGACAAAACACAGTATGTGAGGTGAAAAAGACTGACAGTTGCTGTTTTTCCAAAAACAAGTTATGTCTTGTTTTGCCTGCTGATTTCTGTCAAAATTCATCCTTTCCTGCAGACATAACTCAGTCAGATCTAAACACACCCTTATGATGCACATTTTCAATTCAATGTGACAGTGTAATACAGTACTAGTACATCTCAGAAAATTAGAATAGCACAAAAGGGTTTGTTCCTTATAATTGAATTCAAAAATTAAACTTTATCACATTCTATACATGCACTGCATGTAAAGTGAAATATCACTTTATGTGTGAAATAAGTGAACTCATAATCCCAGTATGTTAGAATATTTCAATATCTCATAAAATCAACCAAAAAAGGATTTGCAATGCAGAAATGTCCAATTTTTGAAATGCTTGTTCATCCATACACTCAATGGGTGTGTTAGAGATCTGTTGTTTTCCTTTCTTCAGCTGTTAGTGCATTCATTGTTTTACATGTGGATGCAAGAGTAAGAAATAAAGGGGGATCCAATTGTCCTTTTGCTGCCCTTTATCTGAACAGCTCAGCAAATTTGCGCTGTGCACCTACTGTACCAAACTGTTTCAAAGGGGGACCTGAATAATGTAGTTACACTAGCCAACTCCTTCATCAGGCTACCAATGAAACACTGGTGTCTTTGGTTATAATACACTCTAAAAGCTCTCCATTAGGCCACTCCGCCATATGCCTCCCACACACTGGTGCTCAGCCCTCAGGTCTCAGTCAATTCCCTTACTAACTCTTCATCTATGTGTGTCTGTATGTGTATGATTGCACTGTGATAGAGAAGCCTGGCAAGTAATCGAGTTGAAAGAAAGGAGGCCAGCAGCTGTTACCTGTAGAGGCAGAGTAGTGAAAAAAAGGGTTTCTTTGGCATGGGAGAGAAGCTTAAGGCTTCTAAAGCTATTATTTTATATTTATATATATCAAATTAAGCAACGTTTAAACAATAGAATGATTTAAATCTTGTATGGCACAGTTGCAAAGTTATGAGCTATTAGCCAAATTCATTACTGCATTGAAAATTACAATACTGGTGGAGCACTAATGAGGGACAGCAAACGGATTGTTTGCTAAGTCCTGCCTCCATCTAAATTCTTGAACTGTTAATTCTGTATTTAAGAATAACTGGCTCCCCATTTATGGCAACTATTGGTAGCAGAATTAATCCACCGCTGTAAGCTAGCTAATTAAGCTAACACTGTAATATTAAACAGGACTCATTTTGACACACATGTGAAATACTATATTGTAGATGTGCACCATTTAACATAACTTGAAATATAATAAACTAATGAAGACAATTTAATCATGTGGTCTTTTCACTGTGTTAGTAATGATTGGTCACTGATGCAGGGAGCATAGCATAGCTAGCAGTCTTGGGGAAGCAATTTTGAATTGGTACTTTTCTATACTCCTAGTTACTTCACTCAGACATCCTGTGCTTAAGTAGAAGTACAGATACTAGTGTTAAAACATACTCCAGTAAAAGCTGAAGTACTGAGTTAACTTCTATTCGAGTAAAAGTGAAAAAGTACGGGCTCTCCCCTCCCCTCAAACGTGTCAAACCGAAAGTAATGAGCCTGTTTTAAAAATGAAAGTAGAGATATTTGTTTAAAAATGTAGGAAGTAAAAGTAAAAAGTTGTCAGAAAAGTAAATACTCAAGTAAAGTACAGATACCTGAAAATTCTAACTAAGTACAGTTCGTTACCTCCCACCTCTGTTAAACATACTGTTTTAGGCTACTAATACATGGCACCTGCTTTTTCTTTTAATTCTCTTTATTTTTGTCTTTCGATTGTTGATTCTCTATTTGTCTTCACAGTTTTCTTACTTTACTTGTAGCCAGTTGAGTTTGCCCAGATTTACTTTTCTGCCAGAATGAGAGCTGTTTGTTTGTCTTCTCCATGACTGAGCATGGGTAAAGAAAGAATCCAATTGAGTTTTGGGATGGATATGAATTTCTTTGTCTATAATTGCAAAACAGGGCACAGGCCTTGGAGGAGAATGTGTTTTCTAAAAATCCTTCTTGTTTCGTTAATTTTCCGTCTGTTTAATGTTTTAGAATTTTTCCCCTGGATTCACTGAGCTTCATTATGTCTAAAGCATATTGAAAAAGTACACAGAAAATAACTGCATGTATGTATTTGTGGTTGTCAAGCTACAAACAGACTTTTGTTATTTGGAAAAGAAGTTTGGGGATTTTTTTCCTTCTTTTGACTAGATTGATGTGTTTTGTTTGATGATGATCTTTCTGTAAAATGGCAATGGAAATGACATGGCAGTGGATGATCTACTAAAACATTCATCCCTGATAAATGGTAATACTAGATGCAGAAATACTCTAGAGATAAATAGTGTTTACAAGTCATTCTACAGTTAGACATACCCTTACAACAGACTTATATTGATGCAAGTTGGAAATCACAGCACTGAGTCACTGTATAAACTGGGTTGTCTCATTACTGATACTGTTGCTAAGCAGACAGAAAACATCACAGAGCTTTTTTTTCTCTCCCACTGCTTTTTAAGGGTCGAATTTCTTTTGAGGCATCAAAGTTGTTTTTTTTTTTTTGCAGAACAGTGGTTTTCTAACTCTTACGTCTAAAATATGGCATTAGAAGGTGCCTTCTAAGCAAGCAAGGAAAAAAAACTTACCAGAGTTTTCTTGCCCAAACTTCCATATATTATGACAGCTGCCTGTGTGGTTTAAATTCAAAGACACAGCTACAATAACAAACCCATTGTTAGTTCAAAGAGTCCAAGTTACATTCATAATTTTACCTGGATGTTTTCCATGCATTCAAGTTCCCAACCCTGGAGCTTCTCACTGTAAATTGACAGTGTTAACTATTGAGCCTCTACACTGCCTTAAATAACATTACATTATTGATTGTGAGGTGCTTTAGCAGTTTATGTTGCAGGGGATGATTCTTGGAGATGACTGCATATTCTGTGATTGTCAAGGGTTTGTGTTGCTACTTCTCTGGATACTACAAGCTGCCTATAGCATTTAGTAATGTGACATGGACATGCAAATGAAATCAACAGACACTACAGATTTCAACGGCTCTTAGCCAATCAAGAGGTACGAGCATGCTTCCAGAGACAACGGCCAACTGTGACTGAAAGGATAAATTCAAACAGGAAGAATTCTTGATGACAGAATGTAATTTGAAATGCAAGGACAGACCTCACTCTTACTTTGGTAGGTTTTAATTCATGTTTATTCTTAGTTGTCACTGGGCAACTGCTGCTCGCCATGCTTACCTTCACAGGATACTACTGCCATCCTGTATCCCAGTTTATTCCAGTTCATGGTGAATTTAATTCCTGTCTGAAACTGAAGAAAAAAACAGAAAGAAAGAAAAGACAACAAATAAATTCTTAATCAATTACTTCAAAAATAATGAATGATAATGATTACCAGCCATGGTGACTAACCACAATTATTGCTACAGTGCCTAATCTGCTTACTGACCCATAGGAAGCAGTGTGAGCAAACTACAGTTACTATTTCACAAATAGGTTTCCCGCCAGGAGTTGTTTGGCTGGTTAGTTGGGAAGTAGTAGTTACTCACTAACCAGTCATAGAAAAATGGATAAACAGAAATACTGAGGCCTTTGATAAATGAACAGAAACTTGTAGCTTTAAAAGCATTTTCAGATTGGATTTAGCTAACTAACACACCATTGAGAAAGGGCTTGCTATGGGCAAAGTAAAAGTTCTTTAATACCAGAAATATTTTTTGCTTTTACACCTACTGCTTCCTAAAGGCAACAAAGAAGAATTTAAGGCACTTCCCCATTGTTTTCACTTTTCA